ACGTTGAGGGTTGTTGCTTAATTTTGCTATTTACACTGTAATGTAAGATGATCAAATATTTACCTAGGAGGAAACAAACAAATTTCAAGGAGTAAGATGTTATGCAAAGTCAAACTTGTTTCAAGTTATATTTGATGTAAACAGCATTCTCATAAAGTAACAGTTACTTTATTACTTTACTAGCTGGAAAACACATAATACCTGCCTTTAGGTACAGTAGAGAATCCATGATGATGTGGCCCTGTTTCTAGACTGTATGCTAACACAAACCTTCTTTAAACCTGGTTGTTAGTAGCATAACGATCCAAATCAAATGGAAAAATTCAACACAGAAATGGACACACTTCCATCACCCTCTCAGTTTTTAGAGCTAAATCCTACTGAAAGCAGAAAAAGGAGAGTCCCAGGAATGCGGACGATTAAGAGAGATTGTGTGTTGAATAATGCTGAAAGTTCCTTCTCTCAGAGAGAAATGACACAGGGAAAGACTGAAGGTATTTTCACTCCTGACAATCCAGTAGACTTGGTTTGATTTGGTACATTTTCAGCTGGTGAGATTTGCTTTCGCACTGCACTTTTTCAAACGAACTGTTTGAAAAACCTGTTCTCCTTCTTGCCTGTGGTGGCGCTGCATCAACACAAAGACCTCAGAAGAAGACATGAGTACAATTTTCTTCTTCACAAAATGTAAATAAAAATGGAGTAACAACAGATTTTAGAGGTTGTAGGATTCTTCTTTTGTCTTCCGTAAGAAAAAACGAGCCATTTCTCACTCGAGCACGTTTCTTTTGGTTGTGTTGACTCAGAATGCCTAGTGTTACTGTTCACTTCCTGCTTTTGGAGCGGGCTCCACACTACTCGGCATTACATCAATTAGTTTTGCTTGCATCGCTGACCAAAAATTTGGAACAAACTTCCAGAAAACTGTAAAACAGCGGAAACCCTGACTTCCTTCAAATCTCAAGTAAAAACGCACCTGTTTAGAGTTGCATTTGAAATGTAATATGTATGGATTTGATTTTGTGGATATGTATGTAATTTATTTATTTTTTTTTCCTGTTGTGGGCAACGGGGCCCGGCGAATACCCGTGGTTAAACGGACGGCGGAGTCCGGCGGTAACAGGCGCTTAAATTCCGTGTCAAAGGGAAGGGGGAAGAAAGGGAAAAAAGAGAGAGAAAAAAAAAAAAAAAAAAAAACCTTGGTATTTTATTCTATTTTGCATGCCTTTGTGTTTTGTGTTTATGATGTAAAGCACTTTGAAATGCCTTGTAGCTGAAATGTGCTATACAAATAAAATTTGATTGATTGATTGCAAATTTTAAATTCAGCATATAGGAAGTCAAGAAAAGTTTATTATATTACACAGATCTCTCTCTCAGGGATTTATTTAATTTTGCAGTCCACCTGTACTAATTTCTAGCTAACTCACCTGCCAAGACCATTCTTAAATTGTCAGAGAGTTTTCTGAGGCAGAGCTTCGGGCTTCAGGAAAATGACTCTGATAAGTTTGATTAAACTTCCAATGGACATGAAGCCCTTTGGACAAATCTAACAAAATTTCTGCTACCTTGAAAAACTATATTCATGCATTATTGAATTGCCAAGGATAGTGTGTAATAGAGAGATCCTAAACTCATTCCCCTGGCGTGAATTATTAATTGAATTCAAATAACAGACAGAATAATTTTCTTAAAATATCTCAATCATTTTTCACATTAGGCCAACCGGGATGCAGAGCACCTGGATCCGGACACCAAGAACTGTATTTACCAACATTTTTTCTATAACGTAAACTCCATACCAGTTGCAACGCCTTGTTTCAGTCCGAACATTTTAGCTGATTTATCATTTCCCTGCTCGCTGTGCTTTTTTTTTTAACCAACCACTGGTAGCCATTAAAGCAGGGGTGTCCAAGCTATGGCCCATGAGCCATTTGCAGCCCCCTTGTGGCCCTTTGTCTTGATCACAGAGCCAGAATAACCTAAAAATGTGTTTGCTGGTTCAGGTATTTGATGCAAATCAAGATTTAAAATCAGTGTTGGTGAAATTTTCACTGATGTTCACAGATAGACATTTAAAATATTCAAATGGAAAATGAGCAACAGAAAGTGTTCTTTTAATTTAAATTATTAGTAGTAGGGACCAAAACATTTACTTTTACCAAGATGCAGTGTTGGAAAAAAAATAAGAATGAGCCATAAGCTGTTTTTTTGTTGTTGTTGCTAAAAAAACAGGAAAAAAAAATCCAGAAAAAGATTTTAAAAAATTAAGATATGAGTTCCCTTTGGCAAAGAACAGCAGAAATCTGACTACCTTGCTTCTTTTATTAAAATATAGTGTTAAGGTTATTTATTTAGCAAGTAAATTTACAACAATTAAATAGTTTCTGCATCTATATTTAGAAATACTAAAACATTTTTAGAGGCATCCAAAAAGTTTGGAAACCTCTGTATTAAAGGACACTCCAGTGTTTATTCCAAGTACGATTTTCTTCCACTGAAACCATTTCTCAGGCTCATCATCATGCTCGAAATGGAGAGGAAAAGCTGGTTATATGAATGTTGTACTAAGACCAGAGTAAAATATGATAATGAGTACAAATGGGATTATTAGGAGCCAGTGTGTCATCAGTCTGACTGATCCACGACGTCAAACTAGCCAAGCAAATTCAATTAGGCCTGCAATTACTCCCTAGCGTAAGTGGAGACGTATCGGATGATGTTAAATATTGATGAAAACACAGACGCCACATTTGTTCATCTGCAAAAGGTGAACACATCTCTTCGAGATAATCACAAATGCTAAATACATTGCCTGTCCATGAAGAACAAATATGAAACATGTCATGAACACGTCCTGCAAATAAATTGCAGGTATATTTAGACCACCTGGTTGCTGAGACATTTTATTTTTAGTTTGATTTAAATGAAAACTTTCAGTTTCAAATTCTCAATCTTGCATGTGTCATTGAAAAAGCTTCAGTTCAATCTAAAAATAAGAAAATGAGTGTAGTCCGTGTTTACTGGGACTTATAGTTGATAAGCAAATGTTAACTTTGTATAACTTTATAATTCTTGAGTCTATTAACCCTTTGCAGCTACGTCATTAAATCATTTGAGGCGCCATGATGGACGTCAGAAGTGACGTCCATCACTAAGTGGAAGTGAGGGATGGGAATATTGAACAGAGCGACTTTAATTATTTTCCAACGTGGGTTTCCAGTTTATTCATGGCTTCTATTGTTAGAGTAGCACTAATTTGTCTGTGAACGTAACACACCGGGTTGGGCGGTATTTACAACAGTTGGAAACAGCTAGCTTAGCAAGCGACCCAAACCTCCTGCCTCCTGACGTGTTGATCAAATTAGAGACTTTACCTGCATTCACACCACATTATTTATGTCACTATGTTATAAACAGCGTTTCCTTTTACGCCGGAGAAGCATTAAAAACGTAATAAAGACGAGATGCTAACCAGTTTTTTTTTTTCGTACATGCTAGGCTACAAGACAACGCAGCGTTGCCTCCATGGTTACCAACGGTTAGACACGAACCTTCTCCATAATGCGATATTTTGTATCTTTCTACTCCTACTTACTTGGAAAGTATATGAAGGTTAATTTTCTTACTTGTAAAAAGTGTTTACTACAAATCCGCCATTACACCAAGTGGTGGCCAGCCCGCAGCTGCCCTCCATCACCGCCGCGTCTTTCTTCATTAAAAGTTATGCAATAAAATGACAGCTTTGGTTTGCATACTTGCCTGTTTGTGCATCCGACAGCACAGCATTCCTTTTTGACCGTTTTAAAAGTGAATTCAACTAAATAAAAGCGATATTAAGCCACAGACGTCTTTCTTCTTCTATTGTTTTGTGGCATTTGGCAAGCAGTTTAGATAGGCTATGCATTACCGCCATCTAGTGAATAGAATGTGGAACAGGATGTTAACTGTATTACGTAAATAATAATAAAAAAGAAAGGCTACAGATGTCTGTTTTTAGACTAGCTTTAAAGAGGCGCGTTGATTGTTTTGACATCAGTCATGGCGGAGTGGGCAGAGTTCTGGAGATCGTGACGTCACGTGTAAAGGGTCAATATGACAAGTAACATGCCGATTGCTGGGATTCAGACACGTGACCACGTTGACGCGCGAAATCCAGATGGAGGTCCGGAAGGGGATTTCTCTTTTTTTAATTTCCACCCCTGAATTAGTCTATGATAAAGATGCTATCGCTAACAACAAACTAACCCTTGTTATTTCTATGAGCTTGGATCTCCTGGTAAATAACCTATTTAGTGTCCGTAAACCCAAATTCATGCAGGAGTTGAATGTTAATGTTAAGTCGCTGCAGGACACTGGATTCAGGTCCAATGCAGACCAACGATTCAATCTGATCTACAGAAACTTCATGTTCATTTCTGGGCATAAAGATAATATATCTTACTTTACATATGAAGGCTTGTCTTTCTAAGTAACTATCCAATAAAACATCTGAAAATACAATTTTAACGATATGATCGTTACCGTATTTGAAGGTGGCGCTGCAAATTTTGACACCGTTAGTTTCTGCACCTCCTGTTTTTAGCTGTAGATTGTTGATCCACTTTTCTCCTCACTTTTCGGTAAGTTTTTTAAAATTAACTCACTTGTGACCAACTTCCTTCGAAACATGAAAATAAAATTTATCGTTCTCTTTACTAGGACTGTTGGAACAACCGTACAGGACAAACTTTAGACAGTTTGATGCTGGATCAACAGAAGTAAACGGGATGCATTGACTTCTCTCCATCTGCATTGGGTGACTTTGGTGCTACGTCATCTGAAACCCAGCAATATCCAAGTTTACTCTCAATAAACAAAAAAATAGTTGTTTTTTTTTAATTTTTAAAGAAGCAAGGTTACTCCAAGAAGCCTAATTTCAACCTTTTGTCATTATGCTTCTTATCTTGTGTCTTCACTATTGCACAAAAATGTTTACAAAATCAAATGTATTAACATACCTGCTGTTGAATTTCTCAGGGTGTTTTTCTCTCATCACATGGAAACGATGTGCAATAGATGCATCCTGAAAGAGAGACATAAGAATCTGGTGATGGTACTTTAAACAAACCTCGACTTGTATGAAAAAGTGACCTTGTAAAATTATTAATTTACTTTAAATTGGTTTAACTTGATTATAACAGTACTAATTAACTGAAATAGATGTGACTTTCTAATAATTAACTCCATGTTAACTAAAACAAGAACGGAATAAAACATTTCTCTTTGACAATAAACATTTCTGTGGGAATCTGAAACACTTAAACAGAAGAAACAAGAAAACATTCATATCACTGTAAGTGAAAATATTGCTTCTTTTATTCAGGACTAATTCAAAAAGTATCAAATGTCGCTTGGTGACAAGAAAAAGTCTTGCTGACGGGTTGAGGAGCATCCTAACTGACCAGATTTTCATTGTTTGTGCTTCTATAGGATGAAGGGTTGAGTCTGAGGATCCATTATAGGCAGCATATTGTCTCCATACGGGTTAATTAACTAAACACATGTTGTGAGTAATCACAGATCCTAACTAAGCTTACAGGATGCTGTTATCGCCCTGCCGACCACATTGTTTACCATTCTTCTTCCTGTAAGTTACTCTCCACCTCCCCCATCCTTCGCTTCTCGTTCTCTGCAACCTGAGGCAATAAGTGCAATCACAGACATTTCATATGCTGGAGGTTCAGATATGTTTTTTGTTATATTTGTTTTGGGGTGAAAAGACGCCCCACCATAAGTTTTGTAAAGGTTGTTGTATTCAAGTTTTGATTTGCATGACGTTTCTCTTCAACAGAAAAGTGAAAAGAATCAGAATCAATCCACTGAATCTGTCTGAGCTTGTAGCATTTTGGAAAGAACCAAAATTTAACTTTCTAGAAATATACTCTAAAATGTCTGCAGCGAGGTTGGTATTGATACAAACAAAGATTTTCACCCATAAAAATGAGAATTAAGTTTCATTTCCCATCTTCTTTACAGCTGTACACTACTTTCATGTGGTCTCTGACATGAAATCGCAAACAAATACATTGACGTTAGTAGTACTAATGTAAAAACAAAACATTGAAACATTCAGGAAGGATAAATGCTTTAGCATGGCACTGTAAAAAAATAATATAAACAATGCATAAATATGTAAAATATCTAAAATGACTCCTCAAGCTTAGTCACTTTGTTGATCAAACTTCTTGATCCTTGCTGCTTTTGTAGTTTTTCCTAACTCATGTTTTCCTTCCACTTAACTTTCAATTACCATGTTTGCGAACAACTTTCTGAGTTTTGACAGTTGATGGAGGAGCACAAAGTAAGTAAAGGACAAACTTGATTGTAAAATAAATGGTATACTTCTTACTAAAATAAAAAAAATTATTAAATGTAAACATGAACCTCTTGCCCGGAACGTTAGCACCAGCTCCCCATTACGGACAAGGGTGTTAGAAAACGAATAGAATGATGGATGAACTGCTGATATTACTCAGGAACATGAGTTGGAGGCCATATGTACATATATGTTGACCCTTTGCCCGTGACGTCACACTCTCCAGAACTCCGCCCACTCCGTCATGATGGGCCTCAAAACAGCCAATGCTTCCTTTGAAGCTCGTCTAAAAACAAATCTGTAACCTAATATCACTTCTATTTAGTTGATTTCTCTTCAAAAATGGTCATAGGGTGCTGCATGGTCGACTGCAGAAAAAAAAACAGGGATGCAAATCGAACTTATTTTATAACTTTTAATGAGGAAAAATATGGCGGCGATGGATATCAGCTGTTAATCATAATGACTGGCAGCCATCAGTATAATCGCGGATTTGCATTAAAGATTTTTCACAAGATAAGAAGTTTTATAAATATCACAGTCTATGAACCCCAACCAGGTGTGTTACGTTCACAGACAAACTAGTTAGACTCAAACAATTAGACGCCACACATAAAGCAACTTCGTTCTGTTCAATATTTCTGTCTCTCATTTCCGACGTCCATCATGGCGCCTCAAACGATTAAGTGACGTAGCGGCAAATGGCCAATACTTAAACTCTGAGGAACTAATAACCGACTTACTGCATGTAGAAATGAGTCTTAGGTGTCAGGTTGGACCAGAAAACAGATCCACTAAGGCAGATTTTAAGACTGTAAACCTACAAACACTTAGGAGCCTTAAAAAGTTTGTACAAACAACTTGTGAGTGCAAACAAGGAGTCAGTCATAAAATGAAAAAACTGCAGCTTATTTAATTCATAAGAAGCCCTCAACAGTGTGAAACCAAATATAATGAGCTTCAAGGAGGTAATACCAGAAGTTTTCTTTAATTCACACTTCCAGGTCTGTGTCAGCAGAAAAACTCTGGCACAGCTTTTTGTGGAAAACCGAATGGAGCAAACTTGTTCAAGGCAGAGCGAATAAAAAAAGTTCCTGTAAACTTTTTGGTCTTTTGTTATTATTTCCCTCTCCCCACTCTGCTAAAGCAATCTGTTTTGACCCGCTCCGTTTTGAGTGGCACTATTGAAACTGCACCTACAGGGAGGACCCCCTGCTAGCTCTCTGTACAGAAATTCAGGAGAAGCCAAAAGAGAAAAATCAATGGCGTCTCTTGATGTCTTTTCAAGATGCTGTTAGCAGAAGACCAAAAGATTTCTTCAAGATCCCTGCTGACTCGCCTCACGCTTCCAACGCGAGCCAGAAGGTTGAAGTGATGGATGTATCTGAGAGATTGTAACTCGATTTTCTTACAAACAGGACAATAGCTGCAAACAAGAGAGCAAAAGCTTGGAGAGGATGTCTCCCCTTTGGTTTAAGGTCTATTATCTGAGATGTGTACAAGCAGAGCTGTGGCTCTCGCTGATTTTAACCACTGATTTTGTCATCTCACTGCGTGTTTGAGGTAAATTAATAAACATTTCACTGCTACATAAACAACACAGAAGAAATAGCTAAAGAATACCTGTAATTTACAGTAGCATTTATAAATTTGTGCTTGTGCAATAAACTGCAAAATTGAGTGATAACATTTCTGCATTTTCTGCTAATTTGGTCTTAAATTCAGCAACAAATACTTCAACAGTAGATACCAAAAACAAAAGCTCACCAATCAAATCCAGTTTATGAAGAGCTACTAATGTAATAACTTATATTAATTAATTAATATAAGATCTGTTTATCATCCTGTGACAAATACAGATTATATAATTAAAAAAGATGAAATACAAATGAACAATGAAATTACGACTTATATACTTCATTATAGTAAACACAGGCCAGTGAGTCAAGTTTAAAATAATTTATAAAATTGTAACATGTTATATTTATTCCTTTGCCTTACTTAAGAATGGGACAATTAATATGTAAGTAAATAAATAGATAAACTTGGAAATATACTTAGTTGTAATCAATATATATATTTTTTTTGTTCAAGCACAAATGATTACATTTAAACTTAGAAAATGATCATAAATAAATGAAGAATTTAAATACAGAAAACGTACAATTTAATCAAAAGTAAACACATAGTAAACACAGTCTAGTGAGTCAATTTTAAAATAGTGTATAAAATTATAGCACATTATATTTATCCAGTCTGGACTCCACCTCAGCTCCAGCAGGGCCGTGGTCAGGCGTCAGAATCTCACTCATTCACTCAAATAATTACCGATGTAAAGATCTGGCACCCAAATTAATACAGGACATGTGTAATGTCCTCTCATAGCTCAAAGTTTAGTCCAATTATGAGTGGGCCCCAGCGGTTTGACGTGCCTTTCACCACAGAGGAGAGTAATGGTTTTGACAGGAGAGCCGCGGTCATTAGGGGCCTGACTGCATTATGGTAGCGGAGCGCGCTCAGTGATTAGTTCTGTCTCTCACCCCTGGCCCTGATTGAGATCATTACACTTCACGTCACTTCCACATCCTCCCAAAGGGATGGCGCCATTAATTCCCCGTCCCATTGGGTTGTGGCAGGTTGGGGTGGAGGAATTTACATAAAGGAGACAAAAAAAAAAGAAACGTGGTGCACTGTAAAACATTTGAGCTGCTTTTAGCTGCGTCTACTACCTTCTACACTTTATGTCAAAACAAATTTAGTGAGTTTTAGATTCTGAATCTGAATTTCTGAGTTTGTGAAAGACAAACTCATAGCAGTAAGTTTTGTTAACTTTTTATTAGAGTTGAATAAACTAAAGTTTTCAGGTTAGCACTTTAAAATATTGAAAGAAGAAAAAGAGAGGAGTGAGAACTATTTCCCAGAATGCTTAGCGGCATGTTTTTGTACACTGATCTGACTCTTGTGTTGTATTAAAGCAAATGTTTATTTCACAATTATTTGTGATGTTTAATAAAATTCATTATCAGGTCAGGATTTTTGAAACAAGAATTTTATTTATTCAAAAGTAAAATAAGTAGTTATTTTAACTTTATATTGTGAGTAAAATAATAGAGAAATGTGGTTTTGTAAGTTTTAAGTTTTTTCTTCCATATTGGAAAATTTAATTATTTGGTTTAAATTACAACATTAAGTTATGGGAAGAAATAACTTCCCATAAATTAATAGGAAGTTATGGGATTATCATTGATCTTGTATCATCAATAATGCAAGATTAATGATAATCTTGTATTGAGATTATTACTAATCACAATACTGGATGAATGAAGTTAAAAAACAATGTTTAGAAAACTTGTCTCTTGTTGTTAAATCAACTTCATCAACTTTAATTTCTGTTAAAACCAAAATGATTTTCTAGTTGCATTCTCAAGTTAAGTCACCTTCAAATGTTTTACAGTGTGTGAGACTGAAATCAGTTCACCAAACTGGAAACCTTCGGCGTCCATGTTGGCTGGTTC